AATAGTAGTGTTAAAATAAATGTTAATTATTATAATTTTTTTATATAAATTAATTATTAAAAAATTACATTTATTATATCTTTAACTTATACCCTTATAATATTTAGAATATAAGATTGGATAAAATTGGACAAGATAAAAATAATGGGATTAGATTGATTAGATAAAATTAGACTATTTAATAGTCTTATCGTATGTTTGGCATGTAAGAGGATTTGATATAAAAATATATATTGATTAACAAAAATACCCTTATGGTGCAATTTAATATGAACATTTAAAAAAATTTTCAAATTTAAATTCTTTTTACTATTGATAAAATATACAATTAATAATTAATATATACTCATTTAAACAAAAATCTACTCTATCACTATTACTGAAATTACTTCATTATTATTGTTTTGATTTATTAGGAAAATGAAATTAACATCATTAATTAGTTGATCTCTTTTCAATTTTATCCACTTTGTGGCAGATGGATGCAAAGAAGAGGGATCCCATTATTTGATGTGATTGTAGTACATCCACTTTGTGGCAACTCTTGAGTAGTTCTGGTTTAGGTGCAAATCAGTGAGGATTAAGAATATTTTGACAACTTGAATAGAGGGATCGAATGGTGGAGTGGAAGGAAGACAATGGAAGGGTGATGGATTTTGATTAGGTGTGAAAGTGGGAAAGATAGGTAGTGATTTTAGCGATGGAAGAAAGAGAAGAATCAAGAAGGAGACGAAGGGAGATGAGGGGCGAGCTGTGATCGGAGTCGGTGAACTTATGAAAAGCCAACACACAATGCTAGCAAGGATAGAAAATCATTGGGGAGATAGAAAGCCACCAATAACTTGAGAGAGGAGGAGTTATGCTGAGGGGTAAAAAGAGAAAATTCAATCATATCGCATCTAATCCCAAGAGGGAGGTGGGATACATTTTACGTTATGCACTTGGAATGGAATAAAAGTCGAGATAAAAATTATCCAATCTTTTAACCTCTCAAATGTTTGCTTTGGTGGGATCGGACAAAAAATTCATCCAATCCCACTATTTATCAACACCCCAAATATGTTGTTAAGGGATATGTTAGATAAATCCTATATTAATTTCAACATAAAAATCAACAACTAATTCTCTCCACATCAAGTGGAGGAACTTTATCAAGGTGAAGGAAGTTCAATTTCCTTGGATGGCATTTTCAATTCTTTTCTTCTTAAAAATAAGATAAATAAAATTTTAAAGCAAATTATCTCAACTTCAAGTGATGCTCTAATGGCAAAAGTTATTGAAAATTACCTTGAAGCCATGTGTCTAAATCCTGGAGGAGGCAAATCTAATGAAATTTTTACCAAAAACTTTAAACCATTTGATTGAACAGTTTAATAGTTTGCACTAGTTCAAATAGTTTTGTTAGTTTTGAATAGTTCACAACTTTTCTACCGGTTTCAAATACCCACCCTATCCATTTATGTTATCAGGTATCAATCTAATCGGTTCAACCAACCAATCCAATCTTATTTTTAAAACAATGCTTCGAGCTAGTGACAACAAAGAAAAAAAATATTTCAAAGTTCAACAAAATAATTTTAAAATAAAGGATTTAAAAATATTTTTAAAAGGCCACAAATCCACAACTTTTTGTGGAAGATTGATGAAAAATCAAAGACGTAAAGGGAAGAAGTCTGGTAGTTTCTCAAAGGAAGAAAGAACTTGAAAAGTTTTTTCAAAAGGTTGAAGAAGATACACACCTGGCCTTGTAGGCCGATTGGCAACGATGTGTATCACCCAGCCCCATGAGCTGGGTTCAATCCCCCCTCCCCCCCAAAAAAATTGCCCTTGATCCAAAAAAAAAAAAAAA